CACAACATCTAAATATTCGAAAAACTTCTGATATGCATTTTACTTTATTGACTAGAATGAGAATGAGTTTATGGATAGTAAATATCCATACGAGTTGCATTTTTTGTTCAGCATTTTCTGTGTACATTTGTAACTTTACTTGTTTCAATTTTTTCAAAAAGTTTTCATACTTTCTTCGTAAAGTTTTGAAACAAAACCAGGCAATTCTATTTAAGTTAACTTTGCTTTTGCAAAAGGCAACGTTAGTAATTTGCATTGCCTTGTCCAATAGTCGTCATAAAGCGGTAAAATATAGTAAATGCATCAACAAAAATACTTTTCCAACTTTACCTAACCCATGGTAAATACGGAAGTTTTACGTCCCATGTAAATGAGGCTCATTTTAATGAAAAGCTAATGTAATTCTCTTTGATTTTGCAATTATTCTCAGACTTGAACCCAGACAAAAATGGTGTTCGCGTGATAGAATTTGTTTATTTGAAATTACAGCGCCACATCCTACAAAATTGTTTCGGTAGAATTTAACTGAGCGTATCCCGACTGTGTTTTATTTGACCCGTGCACATAATCAAGGTATTGTAGAATAAACATCTCTGTGTTGCTACAGAATTTTACGCAGACGACACATATTGGACATGATTCAAAAATTTTATTTAAAACTGTATTAATTCTCAAATTTCAATTAAATTTTAAGTTTAAGTGAAAATAGGGTCTGACTTCTTAAATTGGTTGCTGGTTGTATTATTTTGAAGACAATCATAAAATAATTCAATTTGAAATCAGCCTTATTTTATTATTATTAATTACATTATTGAAAAGTTGACCCACATGAGAACCTCTCATTATGAACAATTAATATGACATTTTAAAACTATTGCTTAACCACAGAAAGTCAAAACAAAAAAGTTGGCAACAGATTTTCAGAAAGTGAAAGAAAAGAGCATGACCTTTTTATTGAGCAATTGTACTCAAGGACATGCGTAAGGCTTTTTGATTAAAAATGGCGTCCGACTGTCTAATGCCTATGCAGCCAAGAATGTCAGCTTTTGACTCACTCCTCAGTATTTTCGTTATAAACAACTCATCAAATTTAGCGATGATTTGGTTATAAAAAGAAAATTAATGAAAAAACTAACCAACCGTCATGCTGAAGGATCCATGTGTTAAAAAAATGTACTTATAACAAACAATATAGTTAGTTAAAGTTTTATTCAGTATTGCTGAAAGACCTTCTGAATTATTTGCTTCTAGGCCAAGGAAATTTATTCTAAGTGCCTTTGCTTTTGCGTGCAAATAATAAGCCGTACTTATGAAATATTACTGTTTGATTTGAATACCATGTTTATGATTTGAATAAAACAATATATGCAAAGAAAAATTTAGAAAAAAATAAAAAGTGAAAAAGATCGTATTTTTTAAACTGTTTTCTTCTTGACTCAAATTTGCCAAGCCTATAATTATAGGGGTTATGATTTGCGGTTTTTAATCTTTTAAGGCCCAACGGATTTGACAGACTAGAGAATCGGGGCAAATTAATCTTGCGGCGGGATTAAAGAATCGGCTGTGTTTGCGAATAAATAAGGCTGCTAATGCTGCGTGCAGAGTATTTACAGTAAATGGTGTTTAGAGGATGAACTTCGCGACACTATAAAAATTAATTGCAAGTTGTACTTGTACAATAATCGGTGTTTTGAATTTTATTGTTTCATTACTGTATCACAATTGGCAATTTTTAGGATTTTCGAAAGATGCTTTTATTCAAACACGCCATGTTTTACGTCGTTGACTTTGTTATTAAATTGCATAAAAAGTATTTAATTCTAAGTTAAAAGCACTGAAATTAAAATAAATAAATTTAGAGATAAATACGAGTATTATATTTTCCAATATATAATAAAATTGTCTTTCCTTTGCCACTTTTCAATATATGTCCTCTAAACAAATGACCTGATTTAGAAGTCTCGAAGTAGTAACTGAAGCACTTTATTGCATAAAAACCTAATGGATGAATGAAGGTGAATAGTCCATATGATTTAGACTAAATTGGATTTCTGCTTTACCATTGTGTAGATAATATCTATCATGACGCATCATGTTGGATGCAAAATTTGTATGACTATTTTTACGACCATCTTTTCTCTTCGAATATATCTTTATTCGATTAATTTGGCGATAGATCATAATTGAAAGGTTATCGGCCTTATAAAAAAGTTAAGTACGACAATGAACTTGCTCTTTCGAAAACCAAAAATCGGAAGTAAATAGATACATGATGTTTTCAAAATCTTTCTTTCCAATACAGCAGGTCAAGATGAGGCGGCTGTGTGCTTGACATGTCGGCGATACGGCGCGATGAAAAGAATCGACTGTGTTTAGGAGTAAATATAGCTGTGGTTTTGTTTCGCTCAAGACCTGCTTATTTATAGTAAACTATAATTTTGCTGTACGTATAGTAACGTCAATCGGAAGAAATATTCTTGAAAGTTGTGACGTCAGTATAAAATTATAAAGTGGTAGTGTATTTTATTAAATGGATTTGCTCTATCAACTAATATTACAGAATATTTTGCCTGATTAAGTAACTCTTTTAATATTACGTGGCGCCTGAAATACTATATTGATAAATGATTGGTGAAAATTTATTTCCAAAATCGATAAAAGTTATTCATTTTTATAATACGTAGTTTAAGCAAAACCAAGTTAGAACTTTGAGTGTTGCCATGGTGATGTTCGGTATATGCTCACACAGTTTTTAGGCAATATCATGACTTAGATATTATACTTCTACGTTTATGTACATTTCTCTTCACACGAGTCGTAACAACGTCTACAAGTTGGTGGATGGATTTTGTTTTGGTTGTTCGTTTCCTGTCTTTTGCAAAATATGAAAAGAAATACAACTCCTCAACTATCACAGACCGGACTACTTTTTGTCGGCAATATTGCTTTCAAAACGCGGAAGTTCGCTAGACATTCTCATAGGAAAGTCATCCAGGCAGAAAATAATATTTTATCAATATCTGAGAAAAAAGAATTTTTTTTTTTAATCATTTATTTTTTTTGATTTAATTGATATATACTTATTTTTTCCGTCGCTTTCTTAAAATATGTCAGTAATCATTATATTTATTTTAAAGTTTCTTCTTCGGGTTTCGGAGGCGTGCGCATCCGACTGCCAGACTAAGCGACATATGAATGATGTTGTTTACAACAAAGCATTAATCGTTTTCTGAGGAATTGCGTACATTTCAAGTGTAGTTTTTAACAATAGTCACGATACTATTCACTCACAATTGTTCAAATGAAAAATTCAAAAATCATGGCTCATTTCCAAGGTGATGCAATAATGTATTGTACAAGTTTGTGGCACGGATATCAGTGACCGTTGAAAAAAACATGCAATTTCAAGCAGCTAATATCTCAAGATGGGACGTTTGTTGAACCGCAAATAGTCAAAACAATCATCATTCAGTGATATTGTTATTAGAAAAAGTGAAACAAAATCACGAAAATTGTCAATCGAGTAATTATGTATAACTGAGATGAGACTAAAAACTTAGTTTTGTTCAATTGAAAAGGCGTCGGAACGTCTACGTAGGCTATATATTTATAGCACAAAGCCAAAATGGTACAATGGTCTGTAGAAAACTAATACATTCTTATTATTATAGAACAATTTAAAAAATTTCGTGGATATTGAATCGGAGAAGAATAAATTTTTTGCGCAAATATATTGAGTTTTTTTTGTGCGTTTTCATTTCAATTGCTGCGTAAAATTTTAGAAACTGACTTTTCATTTATAATGAACACCGGTATAAAAAATACCCAGGCTTCTGTTTAAGCCATTAAAACAAAATATTTTTAATTCTTCACTAAATTGCAAACACGTATCAGAACTCAAATTTTGATATTTCGGAAAATCGAAGTTGCGTCTAGATTCTAGAAAATGGCAGAAACATTTGAACTATCACAATGTGCATTACGTATTTTTTCACATTTCTCTCGCCATGCTTTCCACTAGAGTTGCAAGCTTTTCAGCATGAGTCCGATTTGAACTCTCTAACTGCACGCCCAATCCAACGACGACGTGGAATGCATCTTTTCTGTTATGAAGTAGCTCAAAAGTTAGAAAAAAAATAAATAACCGAATGTCATGAATTGTGTCGCTCACATTTGACGATAAAATGATGTATAATCATTACTGTTTTTTTTTTAATTCGAATTACCTCAATTCAGACAAATTTAAATTTTGAGAACGAATCCGAAGCGAGAAGCTGATTCTGCTTGCAACCGTAACTCCTATATTATCACCGTCAGAAATTGATAAATTTGGGTCCCAAGAATAACCTTACGTCAAATCTGTTACGTGAAATATTGGTAAAACATATCCATTAGTGATCTAAACCCTAACACTTTCCTGTACTTGCATTTGTACACCGGAAATTTGGATGAGAACTAACTAATCATTAACCTGGCTACTGTATATAATATGGACAATGATATTGTCGTTGTACCGAGCCTTTTATTGTGGATATGTTCTTGGGTTTTACTTTCATGTTCTTTCTTTCATTTATATTTCCCCTTTACTAGCTAACAATCTAAAACCGTAGTCATACTTTTGAGGGTTATATGTATCACAACTCTGTCTTAAGACAACAAGGTATTGCATTTGCAAACAACATTGATCGTTCCTAATAACGGATTTACTAGAATAATAACCGGATATTAATTAACAGTTGATACTGAAGTTATATTCTTGGTTCCGGTTTTCCCGTGTTTGATTCTAAAACTGAGTTTATTAGATGATCAATACCCAAACAGCAAAACTCAAATACTGCGCTATTTCAAGGATTAAAACGATGTGCATTGTTTCAAGTATTTTTTATTTTATTACTTTTTAAAGTAATTCAAAAGTATAAAAATATGCTGAAATTATAGAAAAGAAAAACAATATTCAATATTAAACAATAAAATGGGAAACAATTATATAGGAGTTCACGTTATATGCTCGAAATAATTGTCTGTGGCGATGGTACAGGATGTTGACTGTATGCGTTCCAACGATCGGTGTTTTGGGAGTACATTTCGCGGGTAAAGTGGGCGTTTGATTGGGCATTAACGTGTGATTGTTCTCGAGAAACAGAAAACCCTTGTTCCGTAGTAACATTCCCATGTTCATAACTTAATTTTGGATTCATTGATGGTACATTCATATTATGAATATTACTTGTATACGGGACAATTGAATCTGCGTCTTGTGGCAAATAATTGAATGGTGAATAATAATTGTTTAAAGTTCCTTGATTTGTTGAAAAATTACAACCAGAATTCCAATAGTTCGGATACAAAGAAGAACACTGATTATTACTTTGATCTATAATTTGAGATGGATGATGAATGACTGAACTTGCTTCTGCTGTTGGTATTTGAACTTGATAGTTTGAAGCTGGTTGAACCCCCACAGATTCGGCGTAGCTGGGTAACTTGGACTGGAAATGAAAAATAGAGCTATAAGAATACATTTGTTGTAACAACTTTATTTGTTAAAAAAAAGAAAACGATGTTCATTAAAAATGCGTTGAGCGGATGGATATTGCAATGACAATAAACTGATATTAATTAGTATTGGACAGTTCTGCAATTTTAACCGGTGACCACTGAATAAAATCGGGATCCTAAATTGGTTTTATCCCGGAGTCCGAGAGCAGAGAAAATAATATTAAATTGAAAATGTTATTAGTAAGGTTTGAAGATTGTCTTCAATTCAAATAGTCTAATCAATTCATTTTTGATTTAATTTATGACAAATAATCACCAAATTTATGAAAATGAGAACAGGGATTCCGTAAACCAAGATAGTTCTAATACTATATAATCTAATAAAATGATACGTTCTCGACATCGTTCATTGAATTTGTTCAATTTTATAATCAATAATTTACTTTGCAAAGAGTGAAAAATGTTTCAAATTTGAATAAAACGTAATATTTTTCTTACCGATGCGTATGAATATCCATATTTTTCTGAAGACGACGTTGCTTGAATTGCTTGCGCTAAACCGGGAAAGTTGAACTTGTAAGCATATCTTTTTCCATGTGTTTTTGACATAATATTTTTGTCGTAGTAATATCTAAAAAAAAAAGAAAAATTGCATGTACTATTGGAGCAAACAAAAATATGCCACACAAGAAATTTTATATGAAAATAGATTCTGTGACGAATTGTCTCAATTTTCCCCAGAAAATGTCTATTTGTTACCCCATATATTTATATATATGAATATATACATTAATAAAAATATTATACAGAAATTGGGTAATTTTTAAAACGTATCAAATTTAAATATTAAAGTCTTACCGGAGTGCTCTGCTCAATTTGTCATAATTCATGTTCGGTTTATTTTTTCTTTCTCCCCATCTTCTTGCTACTTCATCAGGATCAACCATTTTAAATTCTCCTCCTGTTCCTTCCCACGTGATGCAAATTGCATTTGTAGGTTCGCTCAAAAGTTCAAGAAGAAATTGCCAAAGTTGGATTTGACCGCCTCCTGTGAATTATAAAAATAAAAATATTTATATTTGTTTTTTAGTTTAGTGTTTCAAAAAATTTTTATTGTAAATGAAAATATTACCTTGTTTGCTTAATCTGCTGCACAGAGGTCCCAATAAATTGTAAGTTTCTAGAATAAAAAAGACAAAGTTATTTTCCAATTTTCGTAAATGGTTTAAATTTATTTTAGCCAAGAGTGAGTGCACTATCTCGACTATAAAAATCTTATCAAAATATAGAGAACATTGCGGAGGTTACATCGTTGAAAAAAAAACATTTAACTTCCACTTCGTCAAATTTGTAATCGTTTTTATTTTTATTTGTCAAACAAATTCATTCCAACTTCTAATCATCAACATATGTATATATAATATAAGAATTAAATGAAGTATCATATATCGTTGTTAAAATATATTCTTTTTAATATCGCCAGGTTAAACATTTCAAGTTAGAATAAATACCTTCAAGATTAAACTTTTCCCCTGTGTTATCACCGCCTCTGTATATCGCACGATAATCTGCAATGAAAGATGTTGTTTAGTAAATTCATAGGGTATGGCCATATAAATTCTATAATTCAAACTTGTAACATGTATGAATTGTGTTTCTGAGAATCCTACCATGTATGGCATATATATGTTGGGTGAAAATACATTTTATTTTATCATTCGATTGAAAATAGTATTTGACATCAATTTTTCCTCACCTTCGAAAGTCAAAGAAGAATTCCCGTCTGAATATTTCTCTGATCTAAGAGCGCTCAATCGCTGAATGGCGGCTGAAAAAATAATAAGTCAATATTGACAAAGCGCGACAATAGTTTTTATAAGAAAAAATAATTTACAATATCATTATCTTAGCTTTTCTAATATCACAATTAAATATAACTCAAACCTTGTTTTAAAAATTTGATATGTTGAACCAAAACTTCGCTATTATATCTCGTTGTATATTTAGTGAGTTCTTCTACTGACATTCTACAGAGATTTGGGCCGTTAATTTCTTCAAATTTCTTCAAGTCGATATGATGGAGTCCGTATTCTTTTGCCATCCATTCAATCCAACGTACAACATGTACGGTATTCCAAAGTAGCGGATCTGTCAAAGAGGAATTATTCGGCTCATTGACGTCGTCTTGAAAAGTACAAAGACGAGCAAAAAGACGTCATCAACGTGAAAACGGCAATTTTGCTAAACGTGACAAGATAATATTGTAAATAATCTACCAACAAACAAACCAGAATTTGGTGGGTCATTGCGGGGCAAAAGATTTATGAACATTCAAAATTCGTGCAATATTACCTCTTCAGAACATTTTTCAAATGCCTAAAAACGCAATTTGGGTTTTTTAACGTTAAACGCCCTATGTCACATTTTTCAATATTTTAAGTATGTCTAACAATCATTTATTGCTAGCAATGAGTTTAGGTAACATTTTTTTTTATTTATTTTGAATTCACCATAAAAATATTCATTTTCCGATCATAGTAATAATTATGCGACTGATGAGTAGTGCGTACCTGCTGGAACCAGAACTCGAAAGTCTGCGTTTTCCTGGTGTTGTGAATAACCATTGATGTAAGAATGACCATGTCTCTCTGATACTTCGTGTTTGATTTGAAATTGTTGCGAAGATAGATTCATATTCTTGTTGTCAGGAACTTCAGAGTGAGATTGATTGTTCCAAGGATTAACATAAGGCTGAAATCAAAAATATATCAAATAAATTTTGACCGTTCTTTCATTTTTTAAATTTTGGATGTTGCCGAACGAAACAAAGTACATATTTTTGAGTTTAACAATGATTGAAGTGGCGATTTTAAAATTTGATTTTATGCAAAGCAGCAAAACAAATTACTGTGATTATTTCAAATTTTTACAATTATTTTTTCTTACCTCAGGTCCAGTTTCATTTTTGCTAGTGCAGTATGGCTTCATAGTTTGATTTGTTCCCCACCCTTCTGGTGCATACGGACTGCAAAAGATAAATTTTTTTGAGTATTTTTTACCACCACGCCTACAGATACAAATAAAGCATTCAGGTTGAGTGTGTTACCTTGCTTGATATTCAGAATCGCTTCCAAAGTAACCACTGGATGGTGTAGAAGGAATATGAGGAGGCGTACAACTTGTACTTGGTGTGGACGATATTGGGGAATCGGTGGATGTTGTCGATGGTAGCATCGTGTATAAGTTTCCAGTAGAGGAGGTTAATTCATTTGGCGATGGCAGGAACATATCTGACGCCTTTCCCGGTATATCAACTAGGCAACGATTATCGAAAAACGAATTTTCATCGCACACAAGGGAAAATGCTTCCTGTAACAAATATAAAATGAACAAATAAATTTAAAAAATTCGATTTTTGTACGTAACCGGATTAAAAAATTACTAGATTATTAATAGTTACATATAATGCTTGTTTGAAACTATTTGTTTCATATTAGGATACTTTGCATGCGATACGATTTTGACATCACCGCACAACATGTTCTCTTGTAAAGATGCGTTCCAATAATACAGTTGGCACTTCAGATAATCTTGTTAAATAAATGTGAAGGGTAATTGCCAAAACAACGGCGGCCGAAAGCCCAGCCATGCGCCCTTTCAAATTCGAACCCCTGGTCGGCCGGTGGTTCATTTCCACGTTGACACTAATATGTTATGGAATAGATTATATTGTTTTGATTCGCTTTGAAGATATAAACTGTTACATTTGGAAAAATAGACTGAATTTTTTAAAGATGATTTCATATATTTTAAAACTGATTTTTGATAATTTTTTAGTCAAACTTGTAACCAGGTTTTGTTATTTTATTGCTAATTCCACATGGCTTTTGTCAGTAATCAGCGTTTGCGAAGGACACGCCATAACATGATGACTCATGTATTTTGCTTATTAATTTGTATCGAATCACCTGCGTTCAATTTTTTTATGATTTATTCATCGTTCACGCCTTTAAATCTGAAAAGCAGTTTTATCACGCGACGTGTTGTCGTGATGATATTAATGTAAAAGATCAAAACATAATGAAATGGGCAATTTCTGTGAACTTTTCACATATCCAAAATCATCAGATAAAACGACATTTAAAATGACGAATAAGTGTTATTTTTAAATTATTTTTCTAGCACCGCTAAAATTATGTTTCAACTCTACTCAAAATTTATTTTATTAACGAGACTAAATTGCGTATCCATTTTAAGTGATCGAAAAACCAACAATTATTTTCCAACGTCAAAAATAAAATTAGTCTATTTTATACATAGAAAAATATTTGATAAAGTTACTGTCAATTAAATTGAATCCTATTGTGGAATATAAACGTTTGTTCAATTTCCAATTTTTTGTCACAATTTCTAACGACCCTAAACGGGCAAAATAGTGCTTTCCTGAAAAGAATTATGCTGCATCTATACTTTACCAAAAACTAAATGTGGGTTGTAACAAAATTAATGTTTAGATCAAAATAGTAAATTATTCAAATACAAGTCCATATTTTGTTTTATTTTTGCTATAATATTGGATGCTATGATGACCAAAATATTATATGGCTTACCTTTAAGTAGGCAGAAGTGTCCGGTACTGCCTGAGACATGTCTTCTTTGCTTCCCGAAGTATTATTGTTCAATAATCTGCAATTGATAACAGCAATTGATAACAATCCTTGTCTTTGTACGAAACGATCAGACTTTTAAAATTACGGTACGTGGGTGAAGATTGCTTGCACCTGTTTGGGACAATGGTGCGAATCGAAAATGATGGGTAATGTGGATAAGAGACTCTTTTTATTGGAGCAATTTCTCGCTTGATTAACTTACCCATCTTTCAACGGCGGTTTGAAACTTTTTTGCGGTTTCTAACAAATGGGGTTCATGACAACGAACGACGTTTTCTCTCGTTTTTAGACCGAACCTGAACTAGTGTGTTGTGGGGTTTGCGGTAAATGGGTACATAATGACGCAATGCTGTAACATTTGGGTGCCATTTTTGTAAATTCGAGACTGTTAATGAAAATTGATGCAGTTTAGCTGACTAGAGTTTCAGCGTAATGACAACTGACGAAAAATGAATTTAAGTGTTTCTTGTTAAAATCACAATCAACAAAAGACTGAACAAATTTGGATTGGGTTACGTTAGAGTGTTTAAGGCAATGTGTTATGTGTCGACTTCATATAATGCTTCAACTATAAAGTTTGATTCGCGTTAAAAGTTTGGACCTATCCATAAAAGAGGGTTAAATATTTTAATGCATTCTTCGATTTCAATTTGACTAAATAGTGAATGCGTAAAAATACTTCATGTACTTATTTTCATCATACTATTACTCACGCTTGCAAAATATTTTATTCACTGCAGTAAAAAGTTATAAATTCGTTTTTTACACCATGAAACCAAATATAAAAATATCTTGACGCAGTATAAATATTTCAGATTTAAAAGGTTGCCGCAAATCTATATTATTCTCCTAAAGACAACAACGACCTATTATGTTTTATTGCACGTTAGCGCAAATATCTACTCAGAAAGATATGCTATAATTTTAGGATTACAAAAAATATCACAAAATTTATGAGATAAAAGGATCGGAAGCATTGGAACAACTCTTCATTATTTTCGTCAATATCTCTGAATTATTATTTTGGTATTATTCTAAAATTTTCTAAAATATGTACATATATATATGAGATACAGGTGCATACTTACAAAATATAATTTGTTTTTATCTGAAACATGTAATATATTCGAATTCACAACAACAATTTGATTACTAGTAAAACTAATTCAATACACTTTTATACATCTAATTTAACCATAAATGGTATTCTTCCACTTTTAATCACGTGATGTTGTACCTTTTCTTTCGATCATCAGGATATCGTTCAAGAAATCCAAACAAAGATTAAAGGTCTTAAACGAGTGTCGTGACGTAGTGACATCCTACGCACAATTTATTTTTAGCCCACGTTCTTGTAAGCCGCAAGATGATACATATAGAATATGGATGTTGTTATAGTTATCTATCAAGTTCAAAGCGCAAAGGATTGTATATTTCATTAGAAATAATATATATTCAATACTTAATTAATCATGCCTGAGCAAAAATTGTTGAGTAACGTTGAAATTTCTTTAAAGTTGGGTACAGTTTGACACAAGAAAATGTGCGTCATTTGCGGTTTGACTTTTGTATTGAAATATAACACCTTAGTTTTGCTGTTCATGCATGATCTATGTTGAAAAGACAAAAAAAAGAAATTACAGTCAAACAATCTGTTTATTTACTTTGATGATAAAAAATTTTAGAAATAAGTTGTAATACCGTAAAATAGCACTCACTTTTGCAGGTCTTAAAACAACGTATAAAAATAGTTCGGAAATTCGTTCTCCGATTGCGATCTGTTCGCCGTAGATATTAAATTACTAAAACAAGAAACATTTTTAAATGTGTCCATGGATTTCTTAGTTTTGGTTCAGGTATTTATTGTTGCCACACTACACACTGATGATTTTTAAATATATATAAATAGATTATTGCAAATTGTTTTTGTTTTATTTTTTTATTAAACGCTGATAATGTTACTGGTTCTATATATATATCAGTACTTTTTATAATAATATACAAATAATATATAATAGAGAGCATATTCCCCTATAAGAGTCATTTCAATGAGAATTATTTTTAATTCATCATTTTAATAGTTTCAGAGCATTTTTTAAAATGGCCGCAATTTTAGAAATAAGAATTATTGTTTTGTTGTAGAGAGCATTGCTGGAACTGTTTATCTCACGGTTCATTGAATTTCTTTAGACTCGTGTATACATCAGTACAATCACAACCCTTGTTTTGTTTTAAAATTGACAGAATACGACAGTTTTTCACTTCATTCATTTTATAAATACTTATTATCTCACAGTTAACAAAAATGGACAGACATTGCTTAGACTGAACTATTTACTACCATATATGGTAGTCAAATAAAAACTATCTGGCGGGATAAAAAGATACTGAAGTTTTATCTGTCGGCGTAATCAGCGCCGACATTGATTTAAAATGATAAAACAAAGCTCGGCAACCAATTTAGCTGATAGAAGAGCAATGATGTTGAAATGTTATCGAAGTGTACATAGGGATCCTTTTGTTATTATGTTGTTATTGTTATTCTTGTTCGTGTTGGTACTTTTCCTATTGTTATGAAAAACTAACTCTTCTCATTATCTACTAGAGCAATTTCTTTCAAATTTTTAGTGGTTAAAGATTGTGTTTGTCGCTAGAAGACCATTACTTTTATTTAAATTTACATCGCTGGGTGCGATGACGTCATCAAAAATTGCGCACCTTGTGGCAATTCCGCGTTTGCGTTAGTAGAAAATACTGGTGATCTACCGGTGTATACTGTGACAGATTGTCACGTACAACTGCGTTTTGGTCTTCGTGTCCATAAAGTTGAGCATCGCCCTCTGGTATTGTTTTTACAATTTTTGTGAAACGCAATACAATAATCTGACTAAACTTTTCATAACTTAACCTAAAATAAACAGAAACTGGGAAAAAAACTAGAAACTTAATGGTTTTACAATAGCAAGATATTACGGATATTCTAATAAGGAAACGGTTGGTCTTATATACACGTATGTTTAGAATATTTGATATTATTTTCATTGTTATCAGACTGATCAGCGATTTTGAAACCATGAGAACTTCTCAGAAAAATGATCAACAATCTACATTACCAAACTGATATTTGCTCCAATTCACAAAGCATATCGAAGTCATGTGCTATATCTCGTAATGTTTAGCCTTTAATATAAAAATAGATTGAAAAATATTAAAGCCTGACAAAAATAATATAGTGTAATAATTTATAAAAACAAAATTAAATTCATCAAATAAGCTTTTACGTCAATTTAAATGTCAAAGGCATCGAAGCGTGCCGAATTTTAGGTTAAAATCGACCACGGACGATTTATAGTAATTGTGTATATATGTATCAAATTTCGATGCTGCGGTAATTCTTAAAATACAGCGGTACAAAAGGTTCATCCCTTTTTTCATGATTTTATTGGAATATTTTATTTTTGGGTTCTGATATATAGCAAGGACATTTTTTCTTGAATATTACATCATTTCTGCATTGGATTTAAATTTTATTTTCCGATGACGATTTAGGTTAAAAAAAAGTTGGTTAGAAAAATATGCGTCATTTCGGGTATGGTACATAATGGTGAGCACCATTATGTACCAAAGTTTTTCAACAAATAAAATAACTCACAAACTTTAGTAATTTTTGCTAATTATTTTGAAATAACACGACCTAAATATTTGTTTGTACAGCTTCTCACCTTCGCAAACAACATCTTGAAAATATCTTCTTTTTTTGTAGACAATTCTCTTCAAAGTCATGGCCGGGGGGAAACAAATGAAACATAAAACTTTCGTGGGGCGTTTGCCACTTTGACCTTCGACATTTTGATATCTCTGATCAAACAGTGCGATGTAGAAATCAGGTGAAACAACATGCATCGGGCATTTGTACCAACACTAAAACAAATATTTTGTTTGCAATGTTATTTGAATACCAAAAAATTATGAGCTTGTTTCAAGAGTCTAAGAAAATAAATGTATAATCGCTGTTTTCGAGCAGTTGAGCCTATTTTTGTACCATCGAATGTTTTAAAATTCACAGACATATCGGTATTGAAATCTTTTGCCATGTTGGGTTACACTCAGATTTGTGGATTTTAAACATATCAACATATGTAGTGCGTTTTCTTAGAGTTATCCTGAGAATGTTTAGTATTATAAGTATCGTGAATTCACGCATTTACATATTTTCCAATTCACCTGATAAATTCCGCAGTTTTGCTAAGTATAATCAAATGATTGCCTTTGCAAGCTATTGAATCAGTTGGTATTTTGCATTATAGTCTAATTTTTTGAAAATATACGATTGTCATATATTTCAAAAAGGCACGAATTAGGCGCAATGTCATGCCAATCTTCCATGTTTTACTTCGCTTACTTTCTTCCGAATGAGTTAAGCAAATATATACAAGGAATCATGTACAAGATCCACATGTGAGATAACAAGAACTCACAGAAGTCACGTGCAACCTTTAAACTTCATTGTCAATGAGGCAAAAAGGAACAGATTTTATCACTTACAGACGAAACTTTGATTCAAGGTCAAGAACCAAAATCCATTTGCAAACAGGTTTTTCACTATCTTTTGCATCTTGTCAAAATGATCACGTTTCTTGACCAAATGGCATTTTAAGCGTGATGTTAGACTATGTTATCGTTCGTTTGCATCAGAAGTTATGTTATGGTATTGAAGAGTTGAAGTCGGAACTAAGGCTATACTGCATCGTATTCTGTATTTTGTCAAACATTATAGCTCATCCTTAACTTTACTTATAGATGAGTCTCTTTTTACTTCTGAGTGAATTTGCTTCGACATATTATTTGGAAAATAGATTTATAGTTTTATTTGTCGTAAAATATTACGTCATTTTCTGCTTTTCATTTGGCTTGGAAGGAAGCACATTTTATAACCCAAGATGGCTAAAATTAACAAAAACGAGTTGTAGCATGGGATTGTGAAGACTTTTTGTAAAATTCATTTTCCATTGCCGCGAAACTTAGCATTAAAAGATATTTATTCAAACGACTTCTATTTTGTATTTAACATAGTTTTAACCTTTTTCAGGTATCGATATTACTTGCCTCCGACTCGCTGCGTAGATCATCTCACAGTTTTCCACATAGCTCAGTCAATGTGAGTAAGATTTTAATTTTTATTTTAAATTGATTACACGGAGTAGGTTCAATTTATCTTGTTATCATACCCGCAGTTGCTCTCCGTAGATCACATGACTGCAACATTACTTGGCGTCACTTGACTTGCATTGTTTTTAATTAAGCGTCATATCCGGGAAAGCAGGCAGGTAAATGATGATGCGTACTCGAGGTACAAAATAAAGGAGATGTCGATCGAATTTATCTATTTTTAAATTGTTTCCTGGCGACATTTAAGTGGATCGTTCGACGCGCTACGTCAACACAAATAAATGGGCGTTGAAATATAATATGGAAACCCGTAAAAGATTATCAAGTTTATCTACTCAATAAGTAAAAGTTTTAAGCTTTTCAAATAGGTTTAAATTGAAAACTTAGCATAAAATAAAATACCAGTTAACTTTACTAACTTTCTTACGAAGTTACTTTGTGTAATCCAATTATATGTACCGCAAGCAAACTTGTGTTGCCAAATGCTATTTATAATATTTATTACTGGTTTTGTTTTGGGGTAATCAAATTATTAACAACATAACATAAATGATCACAAGACCAGTCCGACCGTCAGTGAAAGGACCTTATACGGTGTACTTAACCTCAAACTACAATTGATTGAAACAATGGGAGTTATTTTCGAACTATACTTAAGGTAATCTGATGATTGGCCTATTTTTACAGCTTATCAGAATATCTCCCCGACGTATCTTACGCAAGCGACTTCGCGGGGGGAATGAACTTGAACCACTGCACCATATGTTTCAGGAGTTGTCGATGCATGTCGATCATTTTTATGATGTCAATATTTTGGTTGATTTTCTTTTTTGTTTGAGATAACTTCAAATCATTTGAGATTAATTTACTTATATTATACTGTAAATCAGTGATCAAGGTAGGCGATATCGACCCCAGGCTGTAATATAGATAAAACAGGAGGCGAAATCTCAAACGGAGCGATAAGGGGGATTGCTCAATGACGAAAAATCCGAAATATTGCAAAACTTGTTTATTTACATCGTTTATTTGCCAAAGGAGAATTTTTCTAGTGACTTGTGCTTCCGCCGGAACCGGCATGACGGCAGAGCTCGACGTGTGCTGGTTCTGCTTCCCACATATCCTAGCACCATGTTCTAATTTTAGGCAGGGACCTCAGCTAGTAATGGCGTTTGCTAATCATGTTTCTCATAAGCGCAATAATACACTATCATTCAGTAGCGATGTCAGGGGGTTGGTTTTAAGAGTCTACTTTTTTAAATTTTACGGGAGGACCGAAAAAGTGGCTTATAAAACGCGTGGGATTTGGACGACTCAAATTTCGTTAAAATCGCCGATCGTTTATGTCTGCATGACATTGGTATTAACGCCGTGAACATCGATATATTATGTTGGTAAATCACATTTCATCGCATTCTCCCTATCTCACACAAGTATTCCTCTGGACATGTGCCACGAGTACGTGGATACATTTTTTTCTCGTCCGGATCTGTGCATCTAGTGTGAAAACTTGCTATAATGCGATCATTTGTGACGAGACGATAATTATAACCAATAGATCGATTCGCAATTCAAATTTTAGACTAAAAATAGGGGATTGCATAATAAGACTAAAAATCGGCTTTGCAATATATCTAAATTGTAACGAAAAAGAACATGAATTTTGTTTTAAGAGCGTCGCAACAGACTAAAAACCTCATGGCGTTGCAAATCGACCAAATTTTGTGTGCAATGGCTAACATAATGCTCGGTCAGTAGTTTTAATCGCGCTACAATAAATTGCACTCTTTGGGATTTTATCCTAACAATAATCTTAAGTGGCAGTCAGTGTTTTGAGAATAGCTCAAATTATTGCCAAGACGAATTGACAAGATTGAAACAAAAACGAATTAAATCTATTTATAATCCGGCAATTTGCCAGGTATTTTTCAGTACAAAGATTGTCGTGGTATTTCAGAGTATAATAATGCTTTTATTTGCCGTAAGCCGAAGCATTCCCTCTAACATAATTAATTTATGGCAGGACATCTTTAATTGCACGTATAACACCCATGGATTGAATATTTGGCGCAACCGAAAAATCATTATCTCTTGAAATAGATGGCTACTTTAACAATTGTGACAAAAACGGCTATCTTTAAAACTGGCGTAATCTCGGCGACTGTTTTAAAAGCCAATACACGGGAATTTCCGTTTCCGATTCTAAATAAAATTTACTGAAGATATCGTTTGGCGCAAGTGATCTGGAATTTTTGACGAAATAAAACTGTTGATTCTTCCATTTTTAATATCTTATTTGCTAAAAAAAAGGTCATCAAATCGAAGAAATCGCCTTTATTTCAGCAAACGGGATGGTTTGAGATTGTATGTGGCCAAAATTCTTCAAATTTTAAAAATTCGTTGAAACCCATCCATCAATCTCATTAAAAACATCATGAACCATGATTAAGCAAATGAAGATATCGGTCAAAAGGACGAAGTCGAAAATGCGAAATCAAGAACAAATCATACGCGAATCAAAAGGAAAAAAATTTGATTTATGACGCACAATACATTATTAAATATTGCTCGTTGATATTAAGTACGTATGTGTCATATGAAAACAAATTATCATTAGCTGAAACGTGATATGTTTGAAAGCAATGATACGGAATAAGGGAGAAGAAGATGCTTTGTTTCATAGTGAATCCCACTTAAAAAACATGTCAAGCACGTAACAAATGACCGTCCGAGAGGACACTAAAGGTTGGATTGTTTCGTAACTGGTAGCAGAATATGTAGTATGTAATCACAATTCAGATTTAGCGACAGACTAGAGTAATCCTATGTGTTGAAACTAATATGTTACATTATCTAATGATATCGTTACAAATTAAATTGAATGCATTTTTTAATGTGAAATAGGTTTAAAACAGAAAAATGGGTTTAAAACAGTAGTCCGAAGTTTTCTAGACAATTACAAGTTTAGTGAATTATGTCTGATGTCTAATCATGTCTATTATAAGTGTTACAATTGCACTCTGAAAACTTGGTAAAAAAAATAATAAGAAATACTTCTATAATTTGTAATTCTTCCTTCTATGCAGTAATGAATTCATTTGCGGTTATAGCGTTAATAGTAGTCGTTTGTGTGATATCGGTTTATTTGTTATGTTATTTATTATCGAAAGCACGGAAATTGATAAAACTTTTATACAAATTGTCGTTGAATCCATGTAAAGCACTGCGCGATGTAGGGCTTGTTTCTTCGTTTCAATATGGCGGACAGATGTGGTTTATACTGAATGATTTTAATTCTATAATTCGGGTAAGATCTTTTTTACATTCGTTTCTTTATCCAAAGTGTATTCATATATAAAAACAGATATATATATATAAATTTCAATCTTGACAACAATAGTAACATAACGTTAAATATTACGAAAAAAATGAATTCCAATTTTTCAGTATAAATGAAATTTTTGCACAATAATAGGAATGGGTAACCAAACGTTTTTCCCTTATTTTTTTACCTCGTTGGTAACAATTCTGCATGGAGTTTGTGAGAATTCTATAAAATTGTTAAATGAACATTGGTATGAAAAAATCTTCGGCCTCTAAATTGCCTTTAGTTTATGGATCTGATTTTTTTAAATTGGATAAAAAGAATGATATTTTAAGAGTTGTTTGTTTTTAGGCACTAAAGAGAGGAAACATGTGTTCAGGCCGACCAAAATTACATTTTTTACAAAAATGGGGTGGGGAATGTGGAATTGCATTTATTGACGGTAATATGTGGGAAATTCATCGAAAAATAGCAACAAAGTCTATAAACAGGTGAAGAAAAGTCAAATCTGCTAATTTGTGTTTATGCATCTGAAACAAAATGACTGGCTAACTAATCTAATGCACGACATAGACTGGAAACTGGACGAAAGGCCGCGGTCATATGATTGAGCCGTTTTATTGGTTTTCCTATCTCGACAAGTCAATGTTCCATACTTTCGTTCACTCGCAAAATTATATAATAATTCATTTAAAAAGAAAACTGATTACTGTTACTCATCAGTGAATTATTTTACTTTCAGGTTTTTGGGAGACCGTGCAATATCAACAATAAGGAACGAATGCGAACGGTTAGTGCAATATATAGATGATTTACAAGACAATCCAGTGGACTGTGAGGTATGGAACAGTGGAAGAAAGTAGAAACAAAAAATCAAAATGAGAAAAAAAAATGTTTTTTTTTTCAGATTTTACTTATGAAAGCGATAGCAAATATTACATGCGACCTTGTGATGAGAAAACGGTTTGGATATGATGATTCTGAATTCAGCGATTTAATACAACGAACAATTTTAAAGTAAGTGGTAACAAGGGACCGATATATACTCGAATTTTGTAAATTTTTTACAATATCATAATATGAATAAAATAAAACCTTCGTTATGTGATACCGAATATTTATTTTAAAAAATATAACAAAATCATGAAATGAATCTACAATTTTATATTATATGTTTTTTTCTTAAAAATATGATCTGTTTTCTTGATACACAGCGACATTTTTAGAATAGTGGTCAGTTTTCTATTTGGTAATTTTTGCATTTCAGTCAGTCTTCGCGTTTACTTGGAGGAATAATATTTTTTCCAATGCTTCAATATGCACCATTTTTTCGAAGTTCTTATGTCAAATTTTTTTCCACCATTGACCTCATAAAGAGTAAGTACGAATGTATACATTATATGCTAATCTAGATGTTGGAAGATCACTAAAATATAGTTTTATTCTTCGGTTCCACCGTTCAGATATGTTCAAGAAAGTAATCAGACAAAGAACAGAAGAGCAGCAAAACGAAATTCATCCAAAATGTTTCGTTGACTACTTTCTGAGAGATATGCCGGGAGTTAATACAGCAGAAAAGGTGATATAACAAACAGCAATATTATTAAATAATCAGATAATAAAGGTATATCGTTTGAAAAAAAACGACAAACGTTGTGAATTTTGCTCTGCAGTGATCCATAATATACTTTATGCATCTTGAAATCAGTTTCATATTTTTTCAATTAAATATTTTCAACACTGATTTTTAGGAAAATCGGCTTGTTCAATGTTGCTTTGAATTGTTTGGAGCAGGAACAGAAACGACAGCAACTACATTAACATGGTGTATTCTCGGTCTTGTTCATTTTCCACTTTATCAAGAAAGAATACTAGGAGAAATACTTGATGTAACAGGTAAAAATCAACTTTATTTATTGCTTTGTTTTCGCTTGACCTAAGGATTGTGGCACATATGTAAATACCAACTATGTGAACAGGTACATGTAGTTTTTTTCCCAACAATTCAGTTACAAAACAAACCAGTAAAAAAAATGTGAACAAACAATAGAAAAATGCTAAACCAGAGAGACAAGATTCTCTGATTCTCTTGCTTAAAAATCAACATTTTATTAAAGGTACACTCGAGAATAACACATAACTATAAGTTTACCTGTATGTGTATAGCATATGTAGATATCGATCAGAATCAATCACATTCACCTGAACTGCTCACTAAATATAAAATCTTTGCTGGAATACAAACATTATTTTACTATTGAAAAACAATATATATATATTTCATCAGGTCACAATGAACTTCCAACAATTCACCAAATCCAAGAGATGCATTTTACAAGAGCATTTATTCAGGAGATAATGAGATATCATCCCGCCGCACCCATTACACTGCGCAGAACAATGTCCAGCTTCAATCTAAACAAGCAAAATGTAAATGAAAATTCCAATGTAAGTAAAAGCATTTGACAACCTTACGATTTATTTTTCGTTTTTTAAACAGAATAAAATATTTTCTACAGGTACTTGTAAATATATGGGCGGTTCATCACGACAAAGATCATTTCCAAAATCCAGGAATATTTCGTCCAGAAAGATTTCTTGATTCCAGCAGCCATTTTATTGTTGATCATCACGTGATGCCATTTTCTGTCGGATCACGAGCGTGTCCAGGATTTCAGTTAGCAAAGATTGAAATCGCATTGGTTTTGATCAGTCTATTGCAGAGTTTCCAAATAACTTCTTCTACAAAAAAATCACTGACACCATTTGAAGAAAGAACATTTGGACTTGTATGCTGCCCAAAACCTTTTGAAGTATTGTTTAAAAGAAGATTATGACACATAAAATTTTATCAGAAAAAGTAAAAATTTCCATTTACCAGAATATGGTGCCAACGTACTAATTACTCATCAATACATGTATACTTCTCACCTTACACCTTCTCAAGGATATTATTAGTAAATCCTCTTTTCATTTTCAATTTTCAAGAATAAAAAGGTCTTTTTCAAAATTATTATTCAATTGTTTTACATATATTATCTGGGTATCAGGGATTTGGTGTTTTACTTGAACTTTCATTGAGTTTTTAACAGTACGCTACCACGTTGTTCATCGCGTTCATACATTTGTGCATTGCTCTCTTATTGATGAACACATTGTGTAGTATTGTGTATTGTAATCAAATCCTTTTTCCTTTTTGTATATTCATAATAAAATATTAATATTTTTCTCAAAATAACGAGTATTCAGGGTAATCTTGGGGACATATTTCGGATATCTATGATGATTTGTAATCTATATCTACTTCCGAATTCCCTATCCTGTGGGTGTGTAAAAATAAGGGGAGAAAGAAAAAAAGAGATCTAGGTTTTACATAATCAAAGCATATGCGACGAAATATCAATTTTGTGTGGATGTCATCCACAGAATACACACAAACAATTGTCATCGTTCAATTTTGTTTCCTGAAAAAATATTTGAACAAAACCAAGCACATTAGGTTATGCTGTCATTTAGATTTGATATTATCACCATTTGGTGTGCTCACCAACTAACCTTGACCAATGACAAAATATTATAATTGTAAGGTTATTATGAATACTAAGAAATTATGACTCAATTTATGAATTTAGTAATATCGATCTTATTATTCTCTTAATATAGAATGTACTTTCACGCCAGCAATTTTGATCGTAATTTACACGATACGACTGCAAAGCAGGAAAGTATCCGAATGATACTGAATTGCTATGAACAACAACATTAAATATAATATAATGTATTCATGTACTATTACTAATTCGCATTCCAATTATATCTGTCCATATTTTTTTTAGTTATTAAAAGTAGCAATCATCTTGCAATATGAGCAATCGATGAAACTCCCAGTATTTTCTCACACCGCACAATATTTGAGACATGTTATCTTTTTGGTGAAATATTAACGTTGCCAAATAATGTTGAAAACTTGTGGATTCAATTTTGATGGATTTACAAAAGTTTCCATTTTATGTCAAAACTCACCAAGGATTTGGTTACATTCCATTTACTAATGAGCTCAGGTGTGCGATCAATTTTTTAGATAAAAGATCAGTATCTTCAACCAATTATAAAAAAGCTCTCTTTAATGTCTTCAAAACGTCTCCTAAATAACGGATATTGGTATGTGCTGCAATACACCCAATTACATTTATATTGTGCTATTTTTGAAAGCACAAGAAAGAACTCTTCGAAATCGGGAAAATTTTAGCACAAATTTATTCAATAGTATTACAAAGTAAGATATGTTTAAACATTTATAATTTATATAATAGCATAACTTTTTATTAAAGAAAGCAATTGTAAATGAGAAAACTTTTTAATTTAATTCTATAATTTACCTTTGTATTACTCTGAAACAAAATATTTATTTTAGTCAAATCAGTAATTAAATTGTTAAAATAATAGATCAAACGCCAAGTTAACCTGTTCGACTCTATTCTTCGACGACCCATGTTTATTAATGAACTAGCTTCTTATTTTACTATATTTTCACAAAATAAAAAAGGAACAATATTAAAATATAATACAGAGTTACTAATACTTTGTATATGAAATGTTTGAATAACACCACAGGTTACAGAATAATTTTCTTTGAAAAATGGAACATTCACGGTGATGAATACGACTTGAAAATACGGTAGACCATCAAAGGGTAACTGGCTAACTCAGCGACGGCGTCCTCTAACACGTTTAATCAACTGTAGCATTGATACTTTGTTATGACTTTTGAAAACAGACATTTTCTTAAACGTCGCTGGTGGTTCTGTGACAGGAAAACGCACATCTTCACTTCCTGTTTTGTTTAAGTACCTATGCGTTTTGTCGTGACCCGTGTTTCATGTTGTTGTTCCTCGGGATCGCCATTTAGAAAACAGGACAAATGACAGTTGGGGTTCTTTAAACAGGGCGGAATCAAAACTGAAGAAGTTGCTGTTAGTTTTCTATAATCATCTATCTCAGTATTTGGGAAAGAGTACAAAGATATAGAGGATTCATGTATATATTCGAGGAGTCACTGTGTACTCCTGTGACGAATATACTTTCGATATGCCTTACAACCAGTTGACATACTGTTTTTGGGCAGTAAATGCTATGCCACTGATTATAAGATACAAATATAACAGGATGTATATGTAAATATCGTTGAGCGAGATTGATTGAGGCTATTATTTTAATTTCAGTTCCTCCAAAGTTCACTTTCTGAATATAACCTAAGCGCTAAACACGTGCAAAATTGAACTTGGTGGACAAGAGTAAAGCGTTTGATAAAAACAGATTATAGAAGAGCATTTAGAAGCGAATACATGACGAATGCAAATTATCCGATTGAGTGTCCAATTATTTTTTTGAATCCATGCATACGGTACAAGGATTGCCAGTTAGGGTGCCAACAATATTTGATTTAGTCCTGTTGGCTAATCTTTATAATATATTTATCAGTAGTAATAGTTTAATCAACGAGTGGGAGTCAGCAAACATTTTCGTAATGTCTCGTATGCCAGAACTGTTTCAGACGATACCCGATGTTGAAGACAAAAGGTTTGTATAGAATAATTATCTGTGAAGGCGGTAGAATGTGAATCGTGCATGCTTCCCTCTATCATAACTATTCACCAGATGGAAACCATTACCAGTTAAATAGAAATGGAATACAAAAAAATTACTTTGAATCTTGAATCTTCAACGAAAGGATGTTACTTATTTTCCCAGGGTTTGAGAACTTTTTATTCATCATTCGGTTTCATTAGTTCAATATCAACGACAATTGGTCGCACTCCATAATAATTTTCACATTCGTTACATGGACGGAAATATACGACACCACAAGATTTTTCATCGTGATCTAAATTCTATATGAAGAGTAGTATATCATCAGATCCATTAACATGAATATCTAACATCATTTTGTAACATTTTTTTGCAGGCAGCCTGCCACATCATGTTCATATGATCCAGAAACATACTACTCTTGTTGTCATGTAAGTAAAATCTTATCTTCCGAAAGTACTCAATCTAAATATTGTGTCTTTAGCACGGTATTTAATGTAAACTTTTACATTTTATTCGTATTGTCTAAGTTTGTTTGCTTGATATGGAATATCATAAAATTAATTTTTATTCGTTCATTCACTTCATTTTGCATGAATTGAAGAAATAAAATAATTTAGCAAATAAAATAAATTTCACAAAACCATTTTACGAAACTCTGTGCATTATATTCATCAATACTACTTTTTAACTTAATGGAATTGTCGAATAAAAATCAATAATTAACAACCCACGCCAGATGGGATCATATCACTACAGAAATGCAAGAGCAGATTGGATATGTAACTCCCAACAAACATCAATATGCTCCGACGCATTATCATCCAACACTGAAAAATCATCACAGATGCAACGTCTCGAGCGAATGAATCTCACAAATTCAAGTGAATATTTTCAAGTGAGATCTGAGCCACGCACTCAAAATAAAATAAAGTATGTCTAACTTTAAGTTATTATTTCAATTGTGTTTATGATAAGTTGTTTACTTGTAATAAAAATTGACATAAGATGCATAATAAATATTGCAATCAGACGTAGAAATATCTGTACAAAAATCGAAATAATATATTGAACAAATTCTCGACAAGAAAAAAGACAAGATAGGAAGAAGTATTTCTATACTTGATTGCTCACGAGAAAATTCTTCTTTTTCTCGTTTCTTGGAGAAGTTTTGTTGCATTCGTATGAAGTTACAGTAGTTTTATCGTGTTCCGAAATGACTACCATCGAGAATTGACGGAAATAAATTTTAAAGGTAATTTTTTGAGAATTAGAAATACTAAATTTTAATCTTTGTTGTTAGAAACTTGGATACATTTCCAATTTTGCTGTCAACTCCAATCAAAATGAAAAATGGACACAACGTGATTTCGACCCCAAAATGGCGAAATGTTTTTTATTGTGGTTATGTAGAACATTTCCTAAAATCGTCTCCGTAATGGCCGCAATTTCCTCTGAAATGTAAACAAATGTAGCATGGAGGAGTGTTGAACTTCGAGGTATGCGACCATTTTGAATGGTTCGTGCACATGAACAAAAACGTATCATAATAATGACAAGAAACAGTAATTGTAATTAGAATTTAATTAACCAATTGAATCATGGGGGTTGAAAAAAGAACCTACAAATTGTAGTCCATCAATCTGGAGTAATTAAAAATACAATTTTAAATGCATATCACTGCTAAAAAAAATTAAGATTGCATGATGTTTTGTCAGTAAATTCACTGATTTTTTTTTACCTGTTTCGCAAATACGAGACAAGGTCAAATGTAAGTAAACGATAAAACTTTTTTATTCGGGAAATGAAAGTTTAAACAAATTATTTGACCCGGGCTTTCTAGAGTACGGAAGGAAGTCTAGCGATCGGGGTGGTAGACTTTAGGTCAAAAAGAAAACTAAACTTCAACAGTCAACGTCAAGGTCTAATATACTTTCGAACACTATAACGATTTTTTGAAACTTACGACCTTGCACCATTCAAGCAATTTTATTTCTCATAACAGAAGTCAAAAGACCTGCAAGAAAACTGTTTTTAAAAAAGCGGAAGGAATTAAGCTAGCAAAGATGAAGAAAACAAATCGGCGGTCTCAAAGTACACCAAAAAGTAGGTTTATCTTCGAAAACAGATAATTTGGGAATATATATATGTAATATATAAATAATATATGGTGTAATGGAAACTCGAACTTTTCAAGAAAAATATATCTCTAAATTATCTATAAACACGGGAATTACCTGTAAGTACACCATCATCAATCATTTTTGTACAGATTCAACATTTACTAATGCGAAAAAAAGCGAAAAGATGTCAGATTTGCAGAGACTCAGTCCTTCAACGCAAGGTAACAACAAATGATTACAGTGAGATTTGCAATCATTACATATCGCAGTATCCATTAAATGTCTCGTTGTAAAAACAATTTGTTTGAAAATCCTAATCAAATTGAGAAATATAGAAAAAAGTCCGAAAAAATTGGAACAATCTCAAACTCAGTTAGTATTCAGTCATGTTTAATTGAAACTTGATATAGGGCCGGTCTCATCGATTCATTTACTACATGATTAAGTTATCAAAAAACATGTTTAAAATATTTGTGGTTTATTTATTGGACACGTAGTAGACCTGTGGCTCGTTTTGTTATTTTGGTATTGTTGATCTTCTTGGTAGTATTTTTTTCCTCTTGTTCTTCATTCTGTGAAAAAATCGCTTTTCTCCCTAACTTCTGGTTTTAGTTTGTCATAATATCAGCGCAATTTCCTTGGTCCGAATTTTTACAGAACGAAAATGATTCTCAACAATTATACATCTTTATCAGATGAATTAGAATCCACAAAACTCATTTTAAGCCATTTGCTGATTTTGTTGTTTCTGAGATTGCTAGCTTTAAAGCAAAAGTGTGGTATATATTAGCGAAATAGTTTATATAGTTCATAACAGTGGTTTTTTCGTAAAATTGACGGTGCTTCTAGATTTATTATCAATTCGATTTTGTTCCAGAAACATACAAGGTGATGACTCCACTGTGCATAAACTTTAGTAAACGAGGTACGGAATATTACATATTTTTGCATAAAACTGAATATATTATTCATTTAATTTACAATATTTAATATTAAAAATAAAATGAGAGATAGCAGTTAAATTTAAATTTAATAAAACGGATAAATATTTTGTTGAAGCTTTAATAGGTATTTATTATAAATTCCCCCTAATAATTCAGTCATAATTCTAGGTGGTGGACAGATCCAGCTGTGGCAATTTCTTCTTGAACTATTGAGCGACATATCTAACGCTGTATGTATAGTTTGGCAAGGTACAAATGGAGAATTCAAAATGGCTGATCCACAGGAAGTCGCTCGAAGATGGGGAGAAAGGAAAAGTAAACCAAACATGGACTATGATAAAATGAGTAGAGCCATAAGGTAAGGTAATATTGCAACATCATTTTTAAAGCTACCTTGTTCTAGAAATATGATGAAAAGGTTAATTTGGTCATTCTTAGTTTACATGGTTTTCGTGTAAATTTATAATCTATTTTTTCCTTCCAAAATGATTAAGCAAATAATACCAATACTACAGAATTGAGCCAGGTTAAACGTCAAATAATTTCTCTAGTTTGAGTGTTAAGAAAAACAAACTTGTACAACATCTGTATTCGTTTTTCCTTAATCGATGTGTTTTTAGATATTATTATGACAAAGACATCATGACCAAAGTGCACGGGAAGAGATACGCTTATAAATTCAATTTTTACGGGTTAGCCCAAGCAATAAATAGCACATCAGGACAAGGTCGTTATGAATATGAATACTCGCAGGTATGACATCCACACAGGAATGTAAAAGAAAATTGCCTATTTTTATATAAAGTACATACTTTCTAAACAACAAATGCAAAAATATGAAATCTCTCGTATTCTTTTTATTTACCATCATCCTATTAAAATTCAATTACACGATGTCTATCGTACAAACATTCTTGATGATATGACATGATCATCAAATCAAATTTAACTTATTGTTCTCGAATCCATATTGTTCGCAAATTTGATGTGTGTGTTTAAGTCTGTGTTCTGATTTCATTCCAGGTTCCAGGTCTCTCATCTCTCCCAAGCAATCACTACCAATTTAGGACCGATTCAGAGATTAAACCAATTCATGACCAATTTTCACTTAAAGGAAATCGTCCATTTGACGCAACAGCGAACAGTGAATATTATAACATGAATAAAACAACTGCGTTTAATACTCAGAACTATTTCCAACACCCATATTGCAGAAGACGACAGAGGCACCAATGTGACCAGAATGATACACAAATTTGCCACGATTTTCAACACACTCAGATGCATAACTATCATATGAGAAGGGATGGCTATGTCACAACCAATCAAGAGGTTTACCCTGAAAATATGATATAGCCACCGGGTTTTAGCCAATACCTCATGAAAAATGTTTTACGTCCAGCAATGGTATAATGAGGACTTGATAGCTTGATCTATTGATCAGGTCATGGGTTGCAAAACATAACGACTTCACTACGGTATCACCACCCGTTGAATTTAATATTAATAGTGCAGTTCCAATATGAAAAATTGTATTGCATTTGTGTATTATCGCTCACTCGTCTATCTGCCTTAAGTTTTGTACAAATAAAATAGTACAATCGCTAGAAACAAGCGATCCAGGTACTATTTATTTTTATTTGTGTGCGCTTCTTAAGTAAACAAATTCTGCGATTTGTTTGAATGTTTCCTTGTTAAAATAAAAATACAATAAAATTATTTGCAATAAAATAAAATCAGGATTTTTTGTTCATTAATAAACAATTGTCTTCTATATAACGCAAGACCTGTGAATAAAAATTGTTTATGTAAATGAATCGCGCTGATGTGCCCACTGACACATTAACAAAGCTTGAAATTATCATCGAAAGCCGGAATATCGTCAAAAAGTTATTCACACTTCCCTTATGAATAAAGGTAATTAATAATCGGGTTTTATTCTTGCGTATCAAATTCGAAACTGCAGGATATAACGACGCCACAATGTCATTCGACTGTATTAAACTGATTGAGCAGGCATCACTATCCAGTTTTTTTGATTGTTACTTTTGTTAAAAATCGAAAACTTGATCAGTGGGTAAGATGTGTAACGTCTCAATTTGTTAAGAATCAGGTGAAGGGTATCGAGTCTTTCTAAGGGTCGCTTTGCAAATATTTTGCTGTTTCTGTTAAAGGCGCTGGGGGGCTTACCTTCTTTCAAGAAAATATTACCAAAATTTTACTGTAAAAGGAGGATAGCCTACTCCATCTGAGTTCATAACAATTGTGTGTAATTATTTACAAAACTAATTCTCCAATGCTTCCATATAGGTAGAATAAAAGTCTTTCTTATAGTTAACCACAGTAAAGTTTAGCTGCCGCAATCTACTATCAACACTATCATATGTTTAGCTTTCACAGAATTAGTCCTGTCAATATCAGTAGAGAATATGGAACTTCTTCATCGGAACATTTCTAATTTTTTCAAAACTTATTGGATAAAATATCTAAAATTCACAGGGCAAAATCATTTTATTCTGTATGTTGCAGGTTTGTAAATGTATAAAATTTTGTCAAAATATGGATATAATATTATTTATTTAATTAATACTTTAACAAATAATTGAATCTTAAATACATATCACAACTTGGACAATATACGAATTGACTACTGATCAATTCATTTCTGTCTTCAAACCAAAAATAAATAAATTACAAAAAGATACTTTGAAGCTGATATATCTAAATATCATATTATTTGTAATATGATTAGATCGCGGAATACAAAATTATTCCTCTTGTAATTTAAGTTCAAAACGGTTTACGATAATAGCACATCACATTCATCATAATCTTTGATTATACAGTTCCATGGTTAATAGTGTTCATCCCATTCTGGAGCATCAGTTTACTCTTTCTGTTTATGGATATCACTGGAAGACCAAATTTTCTTTCCAAGTACAAAATGCAGTATAAAAATGGTAGAAAGGTAAGTTCATTTCATGTATACCTGGTTCTCTTAAAATATGCACGATGAATGACATTAAATTGAAGCTATTTCAGTTGTCTTCACTGTCGATCATCAATATATTCTGAACGATTTGAATTTTGAAGCCTTATCAAATTTTGTATTCTAAAACTTACTATAACATATAACCTTTTCCCTACAGTTATCGTGGACACGAGCAAAGAAGGCTATAGGTGTGGTATTCAGTAACTCATTAATAAACATTCCGGCCTCTTACATTGGTTTGCTACTATTCAAATTGAGAGGAATGAACTTTGATGAGAATATTCCGTCATCTAGCCGTGTGATTACTGATTTTGCGGTATTCCTTGTGTTTGAAGAAATCCTTTTCTACTATTTTCACAGGTTAGTTAGCTTTAGTTCACGAAATTAAATATAACTTTATACATGCATTCCATTATATGCATTATATATTATATATGAGATATTTCTTTCTTATATATATATATATGTAAAACACAGCTAAACATGAAATGAACGTCCAAATGAATTTATAATATCCTTTCTGTTGTTTGCAATTTTTCATCTCCATTAAACAAATATTTATGCGTGACTGTGATATTACAGCTGAAGTTCATTAACTATAATGTTTGATAAATTTGACAGGTTGCTCCATCGACCATATTTCTTCAAGCATTTCCACAAAGTTCATCACGAATGGACATCGCCAATTTGTTTATCTACTCTCTACTGCCATCCACTGGAACATTTCGTAAGTCAACTGAATAACCAAACAAAGGCAGTTCAGTATGTGTGTTTCGTTATTGTCCTATTGTACACGAACCTGGCACATGAACCATTTTGTTGTCGTTATCTTTGTGAAAACATCGCTTCCCTGCACAACTAATCGACTTTCAATTTTGACGAAAATTTAGAGCATTACAGCATTGCAGTTGAATACAACAAATTATTAGAACAATTACTGAATAATGTATTCATTTTTAATTGATGGATATCTCAATTTCTGTAATCTGAATAACTGAATACTATTATTACAATTTATGTCACTGTTGCAGTATTACCCGTTTTGCACTTAGGTATATAAATGAGATGTCATGAGTAACACCATGTTGCCCAAATCCTTCCATTTTCCTTCAACTTCTATCTGAAATTAGTTATGGCCACTAACATCTGGTTGTTTGCATAGTAAGTTTTTTTTGTTCAACTACTGGATTTTTATTTTTTGACACTGCCAAATGATTGGCAGGATGAAATTGTAGTTAACATTGATTGTTCTTATTTCTATTTTTCAATTATTCCCTGAAATTAGGTGCTATTAGCATTTCACTACTACTGCTACAAGTCTCATTTTAATTCTGATTTTTAATGACTTCGTGTACAATATTTACTTGATGTGTAATCTGTATACATTCAAAGCGAGAACGCTCAATTTTCATTTGTGCAACTCCTCTCAAGTATTGTACATCTCATTCTGGCCAATTGATTTATTATCTTATCACTCCCACTTTCACTCGAATCATACCATTAAATTTACAGTTTGCATCATATAATAATATAAGACCCACAAAAAGCATATACTGTACTATTTTGCATGCCCCAGCTTAAGCTCAATTTTGAGATTTTGCATTTTTTTTTTTTGTACTTTTTACACTGTTGCTCCAAAATTGATCTTGCTAATTTGTAGTGATTTTTTAATGTCTTTATATATATGCTGCCTTAAGTCTTTCATCATTTACACAAAATGTTATTTTGTATTCCACAGCTTGAAGTAACCAATTTCACACAATTGATGCTCCATTTACCAAATAATACATATTTATGTCAAATTCGGCCAATACCATGCTTGATTAGGTGTGTAATTCGTCTGGTATTTTATTTAGCATCCAACGCTTATATGTAATTGCCTATTTCGTATATGTAACCAATTTATATATATTTTTCTTTTCATGGAAATTTAATGAAATGAAATATGTTAAACCATATCTGAAGCGTTATTTATTCATGTCTATTGATATTAATATTGGGGGGTAACTGACTCCGATGACCGCATGGTCATATCGTTGCCACCCAGTCTGTACCGAGAATTATTTTGCTTTCTATTAATTATGTTTTTGTTGTGTATATGTTTTCTGGTAGACAAAACAAATAAACTCTCTTTCTGCAGATATATGTTTAAATTGCATTGACTACCATTGTACTGCGGTTAGTTATATAATCTTTGTTTTTATATACTAATACACCTTGTTTCAGATGTCAAATTTGCTTCCAGTATTTACTGGCCCATTAGTTTGCGGCAGCCATTTACTTTTAGTGTACATCTGGATTTTGATAGCAACACTTAATGGAATGAACGCACACAGTGGATATCATTTCCCAGGAATTCGTCCTAACGAAGCTCATGACTATCACCATTCAAAGTAAGCATGACTACTAGCATAATAACTACATTAACAAACAGATCAATTTTCTAAAATTATTACAAATTTAATTTATACTTTTGGGCTTAATCATTGCAGTTTTCTATGTAAAAATTTACAGTTTAATTTGGATTGGTTGACAATCCTATATTTCAATCTTACGTGTTAAATGAGAACTTACTATTTATCACTAGCGAGATTTCAACTTGATTCCAGATAACGACCAAAATTTTGTTCCAGGAAAACTGAAAATCATGGAATACTTGGAGTGTTAGATTGGCTTCACGGAACAGATAAAAATTTCAAGCGCTCAACAGAAAAAAAACGTGATCGCATATTTTTCGGTTGCACACCAATTCGAAAGATTATACCAGATCCATCAACGCTGTCATCGTGAAAATCAATGGGAAATACTTGTGTTTCGCTGTTATCATTTCAAGACAGCATTGCGTCATTATTCCGTACATAATATTGATATTTTTTCGCATAAAAATAATAATACAGATATATTTTTTTGTTCACTTCCTACGTCGATGGAATCAGTCGGCAGGAAAGCGCATATAATAAAGCATTTTGGTATTTTATAAAAAAAAATGATACTCCTAAATTATGCGCACCAAGATGTCGCATAACCTGAACCCTAACCTTGTACACAACCTTAGTTCAGGTTGTGCGCCATCTTGGTGCGCATCCTTCAGGAGATCCAAAAAATAAAAACCATGCGTTTACGATCTCCTCAATAGTGTCATAGTTTTAATCTCGTTTTGCGTCTCTGTTGACTATTCAGGACATTTTTTCGAAATATTTATCTACTTTCAAGTAATTTTTGATAATAAATTTTTTTTATAATTACATGAAAAGTCATATAATGAAAACAAGAGAGATTCACGTTATGTTCAAACTATGTATCCCTTATTTACAACAAATATTTACATCAAAAATAGTTATTGCAACTGGGTAAGCTCAAGCACTGGAAGCGGCAAAATATCTAACGCCCCTAAATTTGTAAACACCAAGTGAAAGTGGGGTGAAGATGGTTGAATCGGTGATAAGCCTTCTAAGTACACGGATTTGGTCAAAATTTAAAATTAAAGTAACTTCAAAGGAACTGGGCATGCGAGTCGAACAATGCAATGATATTTTTTTTATAATTTTACATTCTAGTTTATGGTAGTCGTGTTTTTCTTCTCCCAACCGACACGAGTGCTGACTACAACACGCGTTATGAGCATCACTTTGCATTTAGCAAATTATTACTTTCTCGTCACTTTCTTTGTGCTGTTTATATATAATCCTGTGATTAGAGACAAAAGATAAAAATAAAATAATATCGCAATTTATTAATTTTATCGAGTTTACATCTGTCTGAAGGCTGATTACGCAGAACGTGCATCAGCCGCCTGACAATGGGATTCTGCTCGCCATTCTTCTATTCAATTCGATAGTCTTGCTGCACACTAACACAAATATATATATATATATTTCTGTAACGTTTCGTCTGACCGAGGTCAGACTTCTTCAGACAAGCAGTTTACAACTGTGACAAGAAACGTAATTGCATGCGCATAAATATTGGTATCAAACTGTTTGTTGTTGGTTTTCTTCGTGAATGAGCTCGTTTCATGGCAGTGGTTATAAAACTGTATTGGCCTACGGCCTTTTTTGCTTCTCTGAAGTAACAGCGAATCCCCACCACAATTTTCAAACGAAAATACAATAGATAGAGCTACGCGAACAACATTGCTCACGCACGCAATACAAATCGGTTACTGATTTATTGCAACTATAACATTTTTATTATTTTTAGTGTGAAGGGTGTGCTTGCAGCTCAGCACATACCGTGTTTCCCCGAGAATAAGACTGGGTCCTATTTCAATTTCCTCCGCAAAATAACACTAGGGCTTATTTTCGGGGGATGTCTTTTATTTTCATTCATCAAAAACAAAATTACAAAGTAAAGAATTACGAGATTTTCGAATATACAAAATATGAAAGCTGATATGCATTTACCTATAACAATGAGCATGTATATATGCTCATTGCTTATAAATAACAAGTTTTTATTCAAAATAACTGCTAAAAATAGCTTACCAATCATTTGAAGCGTGTAGGAGAGATTTTTTGCTATCGACTTGGGAAGGGCTTATTTTGAAATGATTTTAAAATTCAGGCTAGGTCTTATTTTCGGGGAAACACGGCAGTTGTTTTATTCTTGTCTAGGTATGAGAAATTGCCACTCTCGTGTGATCTTGTACATAAAGTTCCTTGCTGTTTTATGGTGATTTTACTTCCCAAAATAAAATAGAATTTTATATCAATCGTAAGTAAAATAGAACGCTTTATTAGTGTGACAATTCGCTACTCTGTTTGTTAGCAGGGAACCAGAATCCACCGTAGACAGCGTGACGCTTGTGTTTTGTCATAGATTAGAATTTTGTGGAGTCATGCTGATGTGAGAATCAGCTGTGATTGTTTTGTTCCTGTTAATAAACATCGCTTTGCACTTTCTATTGGAGGTAAACATGAAGGTTTGCTTTCGATCGTTTTGTTGATTTAAATTGAGTAGGAAGGTAAACTTTGAACATTTGAGAGAAATTCTTATTTTGTTAATTCATGCCACAAGTGGTTTCAGTATTTTCGAGAGAATTGTGAAATTGGAAAAATATTTATTTATGAGTATATTTTAATTAAATGTGTAGTCGCGGTATCTTCAGTCAGATGTTCGGCTCGTGCAAGCGCCAGTTACGTAAGGGGTGCGCTGTACAGATATCTATATGAATTCTGGTATACCATGCGTTTGTCTCGTGAACGCTGCATGTACTGATAAGCATGGATTTGCGCGAATGGAATTTTACCATTCAGTGTACCTGTTTGCTGAATGCCGCAGGTGCTACATTGCATTATCATGTAATAAAATTAGAATACAGTAATACAATTAAATTAACTTCTATGTTTTAACAGTGTTCTTGTTTATCAACTTGCGGATTCAGATTTTATTGTATTACTACCTGGCTCTGGTATCGGCGAAGTTATACAGTTATATAAGATAATGAAATATATGACTTATATCGTTTTCGTTTGGCAAAAAAAAACTCTGCCAGGATTATGTGTGGCGTGGCCAACTTACTTGGCTATTCAGCTGTTAGGTACGGTACTCAGTGAAATAGAATTGTGAGATTGTTGCATTAGTTTTTGACTAAGTAGAATTTAGCATTATATATATTAGGTTAAAAAAGAAATATTTTAAGAAAATGTGAGGTTGAAAAGTACTGCAATATTATCTTTTGTGTGTATGTGATAGTATTAATATTTTGGTAAGGCACACAACTCATTCAGAACTTTGATAAAATTAATTAAATTTCTTAGGGGGAAGGGGGGTCTGAAAATAGGTAATTTCATACTGATAGTAGGGAAGTAATACTGTATAGCTGTATAGAGAAATATACCAAATGCTATACTTTCTTATTCATGTAGGCTACTTGTTTCAGTATTTGCTTGGTCAAATAAATTTTGTAATTTTATCAAGCAGTACCTACTGATCAATCAATGTTACTGTATTATCTAGAATTTTGTTTATTGAAGTCATGAATCCCACAAGAAAATTTTGTACCAGTTTTGCTCAAGGATGCAATCGAACCAGACGAGCCCAGAGTATATTGAAGCAATCTTTGTGTCGAACAATCACAACAAGTCCTTATTATAAACAACAAATGAAACAGAGTGAAACACAACTTGAAGCTGAACTTCAATTTAAAGGAAGCAATTTTGATTTTCCATGTCTAAATAAAAGGTACTTTGGCTCATCTTCAAAAAATTGCATTGAAGTATATTCTTTATATTATAAGACAAAAACTAAAATATTCTTAATTTTGATCATATGGCAGTTTGGCATGGTTCTCGGTTTCCAAGAATAGCCTTCACATTAAAACATATTAATTATAACATTGAGTACAATCCCCTCCTTTACGAGACAGATTTGGGCCTCCACATCGGCACAAATCTAACACTGTACAATAATCTATTTCGAGCATGGTGCATATGGACGCATCTTCCATCATGCCAGACGCCCTCATTTCGGAGACAAATTAGTGTTTGTGTTATTGAACCATATGTCGGGACATCTTGGACTCGGAGACCTGTGTTAGTTAATTCGATCCAAAAGAGAAACTGTTCTTGAAATTATGAATTTATCATCTTATCAGGATTTAAATATTTTTTTGTCTTCAGGTTTGAAGAAGGCCCTGAACCATCATATCAAAAAGTTGTTGACGGGTATAAACTATTTCATCATGATGAACCTTTCCATTTTCTATACAATGATTGCGTAATACCAGAATTGAAAATTGCATATGAAACATGGGGAAAACTAAATGAAGATCGTGACAATGCAGTATTGATATTTACTGGCTTATCTGCGAGCTCCCATGCAAAAAGTCATGAGGTATTTGATGAAGTTTTTTCCTATGTCAAATCCTATTTTTAGTACTTTTCGGAGGATGATTATTTCCAACACTTGAGGGCACTGAGAAAAATTGTATTATTTTTTGTAATTATAGATTACAAATGCAAAAGTGATTTAATCACATCAAAATTTGTAATGAATTTTGAGAATGTTGGTTTTTCAACATGGTTGAATACCATGCATCGGGAACATTGACCTGTTTAGCTATTCCCTTATCAAAATGCTCCACTTGTATTAGAATACTAGACATGCAAATAGTCCATTTTGTCCGCGATAAATTCAAAATTGTTTAAAGCCATGGCTAAACTTCCAGATGTAGGCTTACTATGTAAATTATACATTGATGATAATACTTGGCAATTATACTTTTCGTACATATTAGGAACCAGTCACAATCTTTAGGCAAACATGATTTTATTAGCTATCAGGTATTGTCAATATTTTTTATTAGAAATAAAGTAAAATAAACCTTGATGTAGCTTTATTGTGCTGCATGTTTGATAATGTTTAGCTTACATTCTCGATTTTTTCTGTCATCCTGCAGGAAAATCCGTCGTCAGGATGGTGGGAGAAATTTATTGGGCCCGGCCTCGCTTTGGACACTAACAAATTTTTTGTTATTTGTACAAATCAGTTAGGCGGATGCTATGGAACAACGTAAGAAACACTATGAGTTTAACAATTGGCAATAAAGGGTTGCCATGGGTGATATCTATTAATTTGAGATCATAAAATTTGTATATTTTGGACTTTGGACTGCTTATATGTAATTTGTTCATACAAGATATGATGCTGATATTAATATTTATTAAGGGCTTATTTTATCTTGGTCCCTTTGAATGAGTTATCTGTGCAAACTAATTGTTTATATTGAATGATGCAATATTTGTAAAGCTATCAAGCAAGATATGATACATTTGTATAATAAGACGTCAATTCAGTTCAACAACGACATTTATTCATGTAGTGCATCATTTATCATTACAGAGGACCATCTTCTATAAATCCAGCTACAGATAAACGATACGGATCAAATTTTCCAATGATCAGTGTTAAAGATATGGTAGAATCAAATATCCTACTTCTTGATGCTTTTGGAATTACTAAGGTAGATGATTTAGTCAAACAGCATTGTTTCTTAACAATACCAATTATGTCTTCTCATCTTGCATTATGTGGGTGGATGGCCAAAACCAAGTGATTTACTATTTCAAATACAATCTAGAATAATATTTCTGAATATGAAAAGTTAAATCAGTTGTATTCTGAAATGTTCCCTAAAATCAAGTAATAACTACATCGAATATAATCAATTTTGAAACGATTCGAATATTCGACTTATTTTGTTCATCACTGATTATTGTATCAATGACGTACTTAATTTTGAATATTGTACATCCGTTATATTACATTATCAATATCAAGTGTTATTTTTATTGCCATTATCTGTGAGTCGTAGTGTACAGACGTATAGTGTGCGTCATCTTGATAATGGCTTTATTTTATTAATGCAAATAAACTTCAAGTAGTCATCGGAAGTACTATTATTTGTAAATGTTAGCCAATGACTCAACAATGATATAGTGTGTCGTGGCAGCAGAACCATATTATCTTATGCCAAATTAAAGATCATTTTTGTAACAGTTTAGTTGTAACTACCAAACCTAGAAGTGGACATGAGGCCTTAGATCAAAACCAAGACATTGAAACACAGACCAAGAGATGACTTCTGGTCCATAATGACAGAAGATCCTTTTCTGAAAAATGTGACATGAACTATATGGCCATATTATATATAAATAATTAATTTTCATTTGCCTTGAATATGTCCAAAGAATGTCCAATGCAAAGTATTCGGTATTTTAAATTTTTTTTTTATAGTAGTTTAATTTGAAATATTTCCATTTTAATCAATTGCGTTTCTACAACATGGTAAAAGGTGCCCTCACTGTTTAAAGCAGGGGTGTGCAACCTTTTTCGCAGGCGGGCCAAATATCAATAACCGGCTGAAACCGCGGGCCGCACCTTCATTTAACATAGGCTTTCTATTAGTTGCAGGCACAAAATGGTGTCTTTTTGTCATTATGGAAGTGCTAGCAAATCGATATGACGCCAACTTTAGAAAAAAATATGTTACCATGAAGTCATGACTTTTTTTCAAATGCGGATAGTTATCTTGGTTGAGATGTTTTCAGTAAAATACGCCAAGATTCATTTCCAAATAATTTGCTGTCAAATCCTATTCTATGTTAGATTTAGACAAAATCAATTGATAGGCTGGAACCGAAACTCATTTAGCTTTTGTATCTTTTTATATTAAATTTTTTTTAAACTGCTCTTCAGTTGCCTCCGCGGGTCGCACAAATTTCCCTTGTGGGCCGCATTTGGCCTGCAGGCCGCACTTTGCACACCCCTGGTCCAAAGTATGAAATCAATCAAATTATTGTTTATTTTTCTCCCACTTTCAAATTCGAACTTTAGTGAACGTACTTTATGTTGTTTTTTTTGCTGAGCATGATCTTATTTAAAATACATTCCATATTCAGAAATAATTATTGTAGAATGTATTCAACATAGTAGATTATTCTGATTTACTACAAAAACTCATGTCATTATATAGCCATAGTATTGGTTATCAAATGCAGCACCTCCCTTATATTGGCGAATGATTCATCTTGTTTCTCAATATACAGTTACATGCTGCAGTTGGATCATCACTTGGTGGAATGTGTTCATTGGCATATGCAGCTTTATTTCCAGATAGATTGAAACGGTCAGCAATATTTATCTTTACATCTCTCAAAGTGTATATAACGAATTATGAATGTATCTTTGTTTCAAAACATCTGTAATCTTGGTATTCCAGGCAAAAGTCTCAATAATTTTTTTTCAACTTGTAGTTTGTAGTTTAATAGAGAATTTGTTTCATGGGCCTGCAACTCTCAAAACTGTTTGTTTTAATAGGTCATGGGACATTATATAATTTAACAGACAACAGAATCTTTGTAATTTTCGATAAATCATGGAATTTTCAAAAACATATTTCAGGATGGTTAGTATTTCTGCTTGTGCCCAGTCTCGACCTACTTCAATAGCTTTGAGGTATCTTCAACGTCGTTGTATCATGGAAGATAAAAACTGGAATGAAGGACATTATTATGATGGTGAATATCCTTTACATGGCATGAAACTGGCAAGGTAATATATATATATGTTTTCGTGGTCAAGAACAAAATGTTTTTTTTGTTGTTGTCTAGGACCAAAATTGAATATATTTCTAGCATTTTCCTTGATTTTCCGGAACATGGGTCTTGACCGTTGATGCAATGTGCTGCAATCTCATCGCTGATGAGGTAGAGTTACCCTGCATGAGTTTACCGGTTAGAATGTATGATAACTGGTTAACTAATTTCCATACCCAATTTGGAAAGGTATGCCACATAATGAAGCTTGATCATCTAGGCTTGATGATTACCTTGTAACAATTACCATTCCCAACTTGGTATGGGGATTGAACGAGAACGATGGTTTGACATATGATCAAGCCAACCCATTAACTATCTAGTAGAAAAACAATGAAAGGTGATTCTTTCCTCTTTCAGTTTTCCCATTTTCATTATTTTCAGGGAAATAGCAACATTAACATACCGCAGTGGTCCTGAATGGGAGCAAAGGTTTGGGCGTGCATTACTACCTAATGCTGAGGTATCATTATGTCCGACATTCGAAATAGAACAATATGTTGAGTATCAAGGACTTGCATTCAGCACAAAGTTTGATCCTAATTCATTGCTATATATTTCAAAAGTAAGATGATTTTTCATTGCAGTCGGGGTATTTTATTTATCACCGGGGCTGAACAGTTCCGAATACCTGATGATTCCCGAATCAAGTCGAATATTTTTTTCGAATTGAATGGAATCTCGAATACTTGGGTGGATATATAATTATATGTGATTTTCTTGCTGTAATGGCCACTCCAAATTCATAAATTATAGAAAACATGGAACCCAATTACTCAGACAGTTTGCTGAACGTCTGAACCTAAATTTACGAAAGGGGTGGCCAATACGATCATTTTAATCCCAGACAACATAATTGATAATAGCATATAAGAAATAGGTAGGCTGAACATAGAAACCACTGTCTCACCTAGAAGGTAATTGAGGTGTCGCGAAGTCTAGCTGATATCAGTCTAACAGTATCTGTGTATGTCTAAATTGTAACTAAATTGTAAATAAAAATGAAAGCTCTCCATTTATAATTAGATTCAGCAAGGTAATGTGCCCTTACGTAATTTTTGTTCCATATTCCAGGCAATGGATCTTTTCGACCTGAATGATTATTTTCCACAAGATAGTCCAGGATTATCACATGTTTGTTGTCCATCATTGGTTATGGGGGCCTCAACAGATTTATTATTCCCAGTATGGCAGCAACGAGAGTTGGCAAACAAACTTACTGAAGCAGGTATATATCTCTATTCTATATATAAATATTGATAAAATCGACCTTTGGCAAACTTACCTTTCACATACTTAGACAGGTCATCTGTGTTCTTTGTCAACAGATGTCCACTTTGTGAATAAAATGTTGCGCAATATTATCCATATCTCGATAAATGGTGGCCCTTTTTTTCTTAATTTATTATAAACTGTGGATGCGGAATGGACAAAACCAAGAAATCTACTTTTTCGAATGCAATTTAAAATTATTTTTTGAATATGGAATATTGGATGTCATGTTCAAATGTAGGAAAGTTGAGAAAAACACTGATGTGATTATTTATAGTTTTCATAAATTAATTGAAGATCGCTTTGGTAAAACTTCAGCTGATTAATTATTATTTTCTTCAAACATTTGGAATTTAAAATATCGAAATGAATCGGTTGAGAATTTGAGTCGTTCCATGGAGGTTCTATTCTTTGCAATTTTCTAACAGTCTGATACCATTTTATTATCATATTCAGGGAATAATGCAGTCACATATTATGAATTAAACTCCATCTACGGTCATGATACATTCTTACTTGACGTTAACTCTGTTGGGACGGCCGTAAAAGGCTTCCTTGAAACTGATATGAAGCCTCCAAGTCAAATTTGATGTCATCAAGAGAAAACTTTATGGAACATTCTATCCTTAATATTGCTCTAGGCAATTATCCAGAGTACATTACTAAGCTATATTAGTTACAGTGGAGAGCCATAGCAGGAGCGCCGTCCCGATTGTTTTTAAAATATTTTATCGCTTTTGCATTTCTGTTGTTGAAATAAAATTAGGTCATGGGAAATTCAGTTTCTCTGGTAAACTTAGTTATTAACTGTACTTATTTTACATTGCAACATACAAACATTTAGTGGACTCCACCTCCTGGAAAAATCTTATTCTCATGAATATTATTAAGAACATTGCAGGTTATTTTTGACTTAATAATAACATTTGTATCGAATTGCTTTAAATATACTTGAGATTTTGCACATATATATTTCAGGTAATTTTTCATATTTTAATTTGTCTTGACCAAAATGTCTGTGAACGTCTGAAGACGTGTTAATATTAAAATTTTGATTTTGGTTATGGTCGTACAGCAGGTTATCTGTGATTTTTTTTTAAATACTGTCAATTTTGGAAATTATCAAGTCCAGAGGTGATGTGAGTGAGTTATCTTATCTTTACACTTTTTCAAATATTGTAAATTATCAAGTCCAGAGGTGATGTGATGAGTCACTGATGAAGGCATCAAAGCTTCAATTTTACTTTTTTGTTTTATTAAAAGTATACTGGTATTATTTATAACCAGGCTATTTAAACATATGTCTTACTTTTCATCATCAATATCATTAGAACAATGTATGAACATATTATAAGTCACTATGTATCTTTAATGAAGTATTTGGAATAGGTGTGCTATGGTGTCTAGAGCGAGACTTGTATTTGTTATTATAAACAGGTTTACCAAATATATGAAACAAAAACCAGACAGTGTTGATTAGACAAACCTTGCTTTTTCTGGAATTTCTTGTCAAAATCATAACTGTTCCGACTTAACTGGGGCATATGGTAAGCCTGGTTATAAAGAAGTGTATTTTCTGATCTTTATCAATCGTGAATGCATTAGGAAATCGCTGGGTGTTCTATTTGCCAAATATTTTTCCCTCGCTACCTGAGGTATGTTTCTATTTTTTTGCACACTTAATACTTCCATCACTACAAAAATTTGCTTTGTTATTGCACACGCTCTGTTTAGGTGTAATTGTTGATATTAAAGTTATGCTTTACCAGGCTGGAGATACACTAGAATTGGTCCTTTTTGTCAGTTTATCATTGTGGTAATGCAGTTTCCATTTTTATGTAATAATAATAATATATACTATAAAAGAATGTGCGATTTACCTATATCATGTTTTCTGTGATTTTAGCAGAATTCTACCTCTGGTTTATTGTTGTATTTCGGAATATAAAATCCAAGCTGAAGTTGAAAATTTGTTATTTTTCTGTTGTTTGTCTGCTCTGTTTCGACTTTCTCTACCATCATTTCCAAGCATCTCAGAAAAGCAAGGCTAACTAATCCGACATGGACTGGACCCGTCAAGAGGCCGTGGTACGCCATATGAATAAGACGTCTTATAGGCTTTACTCTCTTCAGAGAGAAGATAAATATGAAAATCCTATTCCTTTTCTCCGTAGAAATGAATATTCTGATATCTACAAATTTACACGCTTTTCCGATTGCGGAACGAGAGGTGAATTTAATTCATGCGTCATGAGAATCATGATATGGAACTTGTGTCATTAAATAACATATGATAATATACAGGTTGCTCATAAAATCCTGAATGGAATAAAGTAACCGACCCTACTTTCTCCAGGATGGAAATGCTAATGTGTTATAGGTTAGCGTTTATTTTATGCATTCGTAATTTTAATGGTGCAATCTGGTTCGGTATGCTCCCGAGCTTTGCATTTTAGGAGTGTGGGAGATATGTGGCTGTTATTGATAAAACTTTTTGTAACTGCACCTAACCGCCCATCTGAACTGGTAACACGACAGATTCCGGATACTAATTAGAAGTAGGAATTTAAAGTGTGCACCCCGAATATAGGGGTGGTTGAGATTTAACAGGGCAGGGGCCGGCAACCTTTTGTCGCTCGCAGGTCAAAATTAAGGTTTGCAAGTCTTGGGCGGGCCGCGTATATTTCAGAAAGTTAAAAACCGAACGGATGATCGATGAATCACACTTTTTTTGCATTGATCAGAAGTTAAAGTTTCAAATTTTAAGCTGCGCGCGAAAACTGCAACAACTCAACTTAGTCGTCTTACTTAAAGAAAAAAATTACGAATGGCATTTAATGTGACTGTCTTTGTTGCATCACGCTTGATACGTTTTCGACATCCCTAAATGAGGAAGGGGAATTACTAATCCCGAAGTCTTTGCTTGTTCTTTGCAATGTTCATTTTCGAAAATAAATATTTGCATGCATATGGAATTTCAGACATCGATGTGAAATATAGAAGTAGTGACACATCTCTCGAATAGAATATAGATTCTTTTCCTCATTGCCTTGCATCTCAAAAAATCCCGTTTGAATAAAACCATTAATGGCAATGAAGTAAAAAGTCAGGCAGTGTCTCTTTATTTTAAGATGTTCTGCTAAAGTCACAGAATTTGTAAATTATTCAGTGCATTCTCTTTCTAATCGTTAGCGGAGGTTTTAATGTGTGTATTAAACATATATTCCATTAGGAAACTTAAAATGTATTTTATTAGCGATGGAATAGTAAACAATAATATTTCAAATAAGTTCTACTAAAGTTACAGCTTCCGTAAACAAAAATTCACTATATATAAATATATTTATAGTTTCATCGTGTTGAATGCTTAATTTTGTTAGTGTGGCCACGCTAACAACTATTGGCTAGAGATGTACAGTTTTGCAGTATTTAATCGGGGTATTGGGAAAACTTCAGTGAACGATCATATAACTAAGGACCAGGATTGTGCATTAGGTTCTGCTTTCCATACGAGGACGCAACCATAACATCAATGCGCGTTCGAGATATCCGCGTTAGTCTTTCTATCCATTTGAGTGAGAAAACTAGGTCTCGACCACAAGAATGTTTCTTCACCAATCAGACGTGTTAAGTGCACCCCCGCATACCAATATTCCCGAGTTTATAATCAGAAGAAACATCTTCATTCTCACATCACAAGGCAAGGAGAAAACCATAAGCAAACTGCACACAAAAAGTTTAGCGGAATCAATTTGTGGTATTACCTCCCTAACATCGATTTACAAATTAATTCAGATATTCGGACTCTATATATTATTGGAAGTGAAAACTGTTAAAATATAAATATATATATGTCTTGATTATAGTTGTATTAGTAACGGTAATTTTACGGAATAAATAAAAGTGACTGAAGATTATATTCTTAATTTTCAACGACGCAACGCAATTGAAAAGACTCAAAGTTATTATCAAATTTGAAATTAAATAAACTATTTCATATTATACGTTAAGCCATAATTATTGAAAATCTTGATGCCATATAAAACGATCAGCCACTTGTTTATTTTACGTAAATACCCACACGACGAAGATCAAATAAAATTCATCGTATTTTTCAAATTTAAAATTTATAGTAATTCATCGTGTCCCCTGCGTTGTTGTCAGAATTTACTACCACTTCTATTGGATAATGAAAATGAGGAATATAAAGTCCCGAATAGATTTTTAGATTTTTATTTTCGTTACCTGCTGTCAAATCGAGCACAAGTCATAGATAGGTTCACTAGAAAAACGAAATGAAAAATCCAACGGCCAATTTTGAACAATAAAAAACTATTACGTTAAATTTTCGAGTATACGTCACTATCCATCAGAAGAGATTCCATCTACTTCTTCCTTTTAGTGTTCAGCCTTTTAGTGACTTCAAGCACCTTTCTATTCGTCGGAAAAAATTTCATCCACTTCTCCCTTTCAATGTTCAGCCTTTTAGTGACTTCAAGCACCTTCCTATTCGTCGGAAGAAATTTCATCCACTTCTCTCTTTCAGTGTTCAGCCTTTTAGTGACTTCAAGCACCTTCCTATTCGTCGGAAGAAATTTCATCCACTTCTCCCTTTCAGTGTTCAGCCTTTTAGTGACTTCAAGCACCTTCCTATTCGTCGGAAGAAATTTCATCCACTTCTCCCTTTCAGTGTTCAGCCTTTTAGTGACTTCAAGCACCTTCCTATTCGTCGGAAGAAATTTCATCCACTTCTCCCTTTCAGTGTTCAGCCTTTTAGTGACTTCAAGCACCTTCCTATTCGTCGGAAGAAATTTCATTCACTTCTCCCTTTCAGTGTTCAGCCTTTTAGTGACTTCAACCACCTCCCTATTCGTCGGAAGAAATTTCATCTACTTCTCCCTTTTAGTGTTCAGCCTTTTAGTGACTTCAACCACCTCCCTATTCGTCGGAAGAAATGTCATCCACTTCTCCCTTTTAGTGTTCAGCCTTTTAGTGACTTCAAGCACCTTCCTATTCGTCGGAAGAAATTTTATCCACTTCTTCCTTTCAGTGTTCAGCCTTTTAGTGACTTCAACCACCTCCCTATTCGTCGGAAGATATTTCATCCACTTCTCCCTTTCAGTGTTCAGCCTTTTAGTGACTTCAAGCACCTTCCTATTCGTCGGAAGAAATTTCATCCACTTCTCCCTTTCAGTGTTCAGCCTTTTAGTGACTTCAAGCACCTTCCTATTCGTCGGAAGAAAATTTCATCCAATTCTCCCTTTCAGTGTTCAGCCTTTAGTGACTTCAAACCACCTCCCTATTTCGTCGGAAGAAATTTCATCCACTTCTCCCTTTCAGTGTTCAGCCTTTTAGTGACTTCAAGCACCTTCCTATTCGTCGGAAGAAATTTCATCCACTTCTCCCTTTCAGTGTTCAGCCTTTTAGTGACTTCAAGCACCTTCCTATTCGTCGGAAGAAATTTCATCCACTTCTCCCTTTCAGTGTTCAGCCTTTTAGTGACTTCAACCACCTCCCTATTCGTCGGAAGAAATTTCATCCACTTCTCCCTTTCAGTGTTCAGCCTTTTAGTGACTTCAAGCACCTTCCTATTCGTCGGAAGAAATTTCATCCACTTCTCCCTCTCAGTGTTCAGCCTTTTAGTGACTTCAAGCACCTTCCTATTCGTCGGAAAAAATTTCAACCACTCCTCCCTTTCAGTGTTCAGCCTTTTAGTGACTTCAACCACCTCCCTATTCGTCGGAAGAAATTTCATCCACTTCTCCCTTTCAGTGTTCAGCCTTTTAGTGACTTCAACCACCTCCCTATTCGTCGGAAGAAATTTCATCCACTTCTCTCTTTCAGTGTCCAGCCTTTTAGTGACTTCAACCACCTCCCTAATCGTCGGAAGAAATTTCATCTACTTCTCCCAATTGATGTTCAGCCTTTTAGTGACTTCATCCACCTCCCTCCCTATTCGTCGGAAGAAATTTCATCCACTTCTTCCTTTCAGTGTTCAGCCTTTTGGTGATTCCAACCACCTTACTATTCGTCAGAAAAATTTCATCCAGCTCTTCCTTTTAGTGATTCCAACCACCTCACTATCCGTCGAAAAAAATTCATCCAGCTCTTCCTTTTAGTGTTCAGCCTTTTAGTGATTCCAACCACCTCACTATCCGTCGGAAAAAATTCATCCAGCTCTTCCTTTTAGTGTTCAGCCTTTTAGTGATTCCAACCACCTCAGTATCCGTCGGAAAAAATTCATCCAGCTCTTCCTTTTAGTGTTCAGCCTTTTAGTGATTCCAACCACCTCACTATCCGTCGGAAAAAAATTCATCCCCTTCTTCCTTTTAGTGTTCAGCCTTTTAGTGACTTCAACTACCACCCTATTCATAGGAAGAAATTTCATCCACTTTTTTCTTTTAGTGTTCAGCCTTTTAGTGATTCTAACCACCTCACTATACGTCGGAAAAAATTGCATCTATTTCTTCCTTCTAGGGTGCATCTTTTTAGTGACTTCAACCACCTCATCATCCGTCGGAAAAACTTTTATCCATCTCTTCCTTGTAGGGTTTAACGCTTTATTGACCTCAACCACCTCATTAATCGTCGGAAGAAATTTCATCTACTTCCTCCTTTTAGTTTTCAGCCCATGGACCTTTCCCCGACCTTTGACCCCCGAAAAATTCTTTTTATACTTTATCATTGCAAAATTTTCGGGGCCTATTTTAGGAGTGGTTTTGCGAGTTAGCGCCTGTAAAATGGGATGTGTGTTCCTAACCATCAGCATGATTGATCGCATACAACAATCTGTTTTTTAACGTACCGGTAAAGAATTTTAGCCCAGTCTATCACGGCTATTTCTACACTAACTGTTTATTACTGCAATTAAATTAAAACTCCTGAGAAGACACAGCGATCATTGAATTATCTGATATATATATATATCAGTGTCTGTCTGAGTGAGAAAAGTGTCTGAGCGGATGCGAA